ACACCATTTGTTAAGGCGGTCATTTTGACGAAGAAGAGCATTATTAGAGTTCGCGTTATTATAGGTTTGCCGTCTGTCGTTGTAGGCTGGACGATCCTCTCTTTCTCGCGTTACAGGGGGTCTCGCGTAATTGTTACGCGATAAATTATTCGGATAACGCTCTCGAGAATAATTTCCATTGCGCGGAATAGTATCAGTTTGCGCCTGGCGTGTATATTCATTACGTGGGGGGTCCGGTTCGCGACGGTCGCGCGGCTTATTTCGATCTCTGTCCAGCTCCTCTCTCTTTGCAAGTTCCTTTGCCCTTGCAAATGCCTCAAACGGTACGGAGAAAAGGCGTCTATCCATCTGCAGTCTGTACTGAAGAGGTAGACCGTCACAGAATGATCGTGCCGTGAGTTCGTCGATTTCGAGAGCAATTTCGTCGTTCACATTTCCCGTTGTACGGCGCTTGGCATCTAGGATCGCGGATCTGAGTTCCTTAACACGACTAATGTAATCTAACATATGCTCGTGTGGTTTCAAGTACACCGTACTAAGTTCTCCTTTATATTGATCGATTGTTTTCGCGGAGCCAAAAGCGTTATTGAGTAGGTCTATTAATTGTACGACACTTTCGCAAGGTTCGTCCTCGACGGCGTAATAGGCGCGTCCACGAAGTTTAGTTTTTAGCAGAGCAGTGAGGTTCCGCTCCGAGGAAGGAGGAATAATTTCCCGAGCGCGACGACATGCTCGCGTGAATTGCCCTAGTGGTACGTTATATCCGTCGAAAAAAGGTACAGATTCCGTTGCTTCGCGAAATGAGACCTTGGGGAGTTGAGGCGACTCCATATGTGGGCCGGGTTGCCCGTTTGAATCGTCGAGGGACAATAAGGGTTGTCCAGAGAGCCGTAGAGACGGACTGGTCTCTCTGCGGAGACGAGCTACTTCCCGGCGCAATTCCTCCATTTCAGCGAGGATGCTATCTTTTAACGCCGTCATTTCTCGAGGAGCGGCGTCCTCCGACGTTTTTTGCATTATTTCTCTAAGGGTTTCCAACTCGCGCTCTCTCTTATCCTGCTTTTTACGTTGGTCGGTTAGGTAGGCGGCTTCGTCTTTCAAACTATTTTCTTTAGACCTTAACGCGGCTTCCCTAGTCTTTAGTCTAGTCTGAGTTTCGGCTAACTCGGTTTCTCGTTGTTTTAGTTTCAACTGAATTTCAGCTAACTCTGCTTCGGAAAACTCTTTCCTCGTTCCCTCCTTTTCTACCGAATCTTCCCTTTCTCCTTGTTTCCGGCGCGTGTCAACCATAGCTCGGAAATTACGTATCCCACCGCTGTCACCAATTTTGTTACGTCCCGTTCGCAGTCGCGGCGTGTTATTCGCGAGTGTATGATTCGCGTTGCACGTACTCGAACTATTGCGCGAGACAACGTCGTATTACGGAAATTTTTCCGGGGATACCCACGACGAAGGGTTTTCCGACAAAGGTTGCACGATGCGGAGGAAAGGGAAAGAATGTGTTACCCTTAAAGTAGCAGTTACGGCGTGGAGCCTATCTGTAATTCTACAGTTATGATCGTGGTTCCGTCTTCTATCCTCGCCGGGACGCTATCTGGGTTACGCGAGTAGTCTTCGTATACAGACTCGCAAAGTTCGCATAGGTCACCCGCCCGTGAGAGGGTGAGGCGGTTGCTGCAAGTTCCGCAAACTATCCCAACTAATAATCCACCTATGGTTAGGCTATGTTTCCGGATCCGCGTCCAGAACAATTGAGAAGTTCGAGGTAACGCGGCGAAGCATGAAAGACAAAGAGCGGCTTTAGTTTCAAAATGGATGTACCCGATACCGACTTGACAGTAATACGGAGGCTCGAGAGGTATTAGGAGATTAACTCCTGGAAGAGGGGTTACACCTCTAAAGGGGATTGGGCACATCTATACTTGCCACGTTAGTTGTATTAAAAGATCATGCGTTGTTCGCTCGTAGATGGTTGATGAGACCGGACGTTGTCGAGAGGTCGGTAAATGTCGGCAAAGTGAGTCGATGTGGCGTCGATATAACGTCGGCAACTATCGGTAACGATCGTCGGTAAAGGCCGTCGGTATAAGCCGGTGGTAAATCGTTGGTAAGATCGTCGATAAAAGAACGTACGTCGGTATACTGTTGGTAAATCGAGAGTGTTCTTATAGTTTATTGGTTAAATGACTACTTTGTTGTACGGATTTACGAAGTTATTTCCTGAGACACGAAGATTTTTAAAAGATTGAATTATTTGCGTTTTTCCGTGTTAGAAGTTCGAGAGTTGTACCGTGTGCAGTGGACGACCCTAGTTTTATAGCCTGACCCTTTTTTATAGCTTCCGCAGTGACGATGGAAAAGAGGAAAATGCGTCGGAGATTTTTCTAGAATGTTCTCTTCCACGTGGTAAAACCGTCTCTGAATTTGCTAACACGCGCGATTCCTCAGGAATTACCATAGAATTTCACTTACCTTTATGTAGTCACTTTCTTAGATCGTGTCGGCTCTGTACTCCACTGGAGAGTAGTGCGTGCGGGCGAGGGTCGTTGCACTGGATGTTTATGCGGCGGCGGCAAAGAGGCGATCGTGGT